AAAGAAAATTTCAATTTTTACTATGTTTTATTAATAAATTTGAACACGTGATTCCATAATTACGTTAGCCACTGTATTTAATTTAAATTTTAGTTCAAATATTAGTTCAAATATTAATTTAAATATTAATTTATTATTAATTTTATTAATTTAGAATTTATTAATTATTTATAAAAAATCATATATTTTTATTTAGATTAAGTTTGAGATTAATTTAAATTAATAATTTTAGTTCAAATTAAGTTGAAATTGAATTTGATCCAAAAATTATAAAATAATTTTTTTAATAACTTTTATTTTTACTAAGATATTTATATATTTTGTTTTAAATAAAGTTATTCAAAATATAATTATATATATATTCACAAATTTTTGTTTAATTTATTTAATTTGAATTAATATTAAATAATTTTTAGATTAATTTAAATATTTAAATCAGTTTTGATTTCAATCTTATTTAATTTAAAATATACAATTTGGATCAGATTACAAATTAAATTAAAATATTAATTTTAATATAAAAAATTATCAAGTTTTTTATTAATTAAAATTAAATTTTTTAATTAAGTTTTTTAATAATTAATTTTTTTTGATTATTTAGCTCTTTGAAAAAGTTAATAAATAAATATAATTTTAATATAATTTTTAATTAGATATTATTTAGATTTGTTTTATAATAAATTAATTTTTATTATTATTAATTTTGTTTAATTAATATAATTTCTTGAATTTTATTACAAAGTTATATTTATAATTATTTATTAATTTATAATTTATCAGCTTAATTATTAAATTATTATTATTCTTGCTTTAATTGTGAAATTATGCTTTTTTTATTTTAATTATAAAATTATATTAAATTAAATTAATAAAAAAATTATTAATATTTCATTTATTTATAAATTATTCTTAAAATTATAATTATATTTATCTTTGTTAAAGAAAATTTCTGAACTCATTCTAGTTGCTCAACAAAATGAACATATATTACTTATCTTTCACTTATAGTTTTAATTATTCATATTATATTTTTCACCAAACTGAAATTATATAAAAAACATATTATATACTTGAAAGTTATCAATTTACATAAAACAGTAACAATATAACATCATGTCCAAATACAATAAATCAGTCACTTTAGGGCATAATATCTTGACATTCAGCAATCCAATTTGAACAAAAATATTACCAGTTGATTTGCTCAAATTGGATCACTGGATAAAGTAACAGATTTGTCTATCAATTTTTCATCACTGAATTGATGTAATATCTGAACCTCTAGTGATCCGATTTGAACAAAAATACTACCATTTGATTCGTCTAGAATTAGATTATTAGATATTGAGATGTAATAAAATGACTGATTGTATTTGGGACCGATATAGAAGCTATAAATGTACAAGCGATCAGGTATTACATTTTACGCCAGAAAATTGGGGTGACCGTTATAGTATGGTCGCTACTATAATGAACCTTTTTATAACGCTGGATATAATGAACTTTAGATTGAATTACAGTGAAACTGGATACAACGAAGGGGATTGTATAGCCTTTTTTTCGTTACGTCCAGTTTCACTGTGTATTATAAAGTTCGCTATGTAAGTTTGATATAACGATAACAAATTTTTGATTGTTGACTTGATCAAAACTCATTTTTAAATATACTTCCAGTTTGAATATAACGTGCCTATCGTTTCTGAGTTCCAGCTCGACTTTATAACGACGAAACTTTTGAATCATAACGACACACATGACTTAGTTATTCGTGCTGGTAAGAGAAGATAGAGTTTCGTGAGATTATTTAGAGTATATATATATATATATATATATATATATATATATATATCAAGCACTAGTCTTTTAATTCTAACATTCTTTTTCTAAATACGTATAGCTTTTATTTTTTAATTTTTTGTATGGTGGAAATATAACATGAAGATGCGGATATTTTAAGATTGTCAGTGAATTACGATTAAATAATTTAGCAGCCTATATTTAAAAGTCCAGTGCAAATTTTAGAAATCGTACTTCATCATCAAAAATTCACTGATTTACGTAATTTCTGTCTTGAAACTATTCGCCAAAGTCCCTTTGAATCTAACAATTTTTTTCATTGGATGAAACTATCTTTAAATTGCTATTGGAACGCGGTGATTATTAACGCTAATTGAAGAAATAGAGATTTTGGATCATATCCTAGCTTGGTCACTGCTACTACAACTATTTATTCTTCTCATTAAATGGTCTCAAATTGAATCACGCGATTTTCAACAAAGAGTTAAGCCGTATCGAGATATTTTGCCTAACACGCTCTATGAAAATATTAGCTTGAATCCGGTTCTTCCAATACAATTAACCTTACCTGCACGAATTTCATTTCCACCTGCTCAAAATTTATCTCGCACTTTTTATCTTTACTTTATCTTTAAAACCAACCAACCAAGTCTAATTTTGCAACCATTAATTCTAAAATTGCTGCAGTGATTGCAAGTTGGATCTCAAATTATTGCAATGAGAGACAAAATCCTTGCAAGCAAAGATGGATTTTTAATGGTGTATTTCATTAAAAATGTGATAATAAAGGAGCAACAGTCGTTTTTGCTAAGCTCAACTCTAAAACAAAAACGATATTCATAGGTTATAACCTGAACAGCTGGACTAGCATTGGGCTTTGGCAATATTGCGATGCAATTCTCTTATTCTCATTTCAAAATTCTCAGAATATTTCTTCAGCACGAATTGGTCACAATAACCAGCCTAATCATGCAACCTATAATAGTATTACAAGCGATGGTCTAACTTTTGGAGGTGGGTATGAATTTTACATTAAAGGTAACAACTGGGGTAGCGACTCAAATGAGCATTACCCTGATGTTTTTTACACGATATCCACGGTGGAGATTTACAAGAATATGAAGTTTTTCGGGTCTTAAGGAAATAATTAATTCTATACCATACATTTGATAATTTAATCAAAGTTTCCATTAGCTATTTATTTTGCAAATAAACAATAATTTCATACCCACGCTCTTTATTTTTTGACTTGCCACGACGATCCATCAGTATGAAAGACGCGCGTTATCGAAAATACGTGTCGATGATTTGCTGATCGATGAAACAGCATCTATAAATAGAGTTTTTGGAATTTTTGCATAGAAAATAAAATGAAAACTTTATTTCGTGAATTAATAGAGCCACTCCAAGAAAACGAACAAGAACGCAATCAACTAGAAAGTCTACTCAGAACTGACAACGAAAGCTACACAAAACATTTAAATCACTACCTTAAAAACAGCCACCAAAAACTACTTCAAAGATTACAAAATCGTCACATACTTGAACTCACAGAATTACAAGAAGAATTCAAGCAAGATGAGCCGTTGATTCGACAATACTCTCCAACGGTGGACAAACTCAAAATTGAGAACAGAGTTCAGGATTTGTTATGTAACAACGATGTTAGAGACACTGTAAAAGTTAAAGACGCTATCGCGAGTATGATTGAAGAAGTAAGGGAAAAAGATACTTTTTTGAGTCTGGATGACTTGTCTGACGCGTACAAACGACGGAATCAAACTCTGAGAAATGCACAACACTCGGAGTTTGAGATGTTGCGAGTTCTTCTATCTCAAGAGTTGAATTTCTTCTCGGCAACAACTTTTAATGACAATAACAACAACAACAACAAAAGCAATATCTCTCAATCTTCAGCAGCAGTAGCAAGCGCTATAAATTTGATTCAATTTTCTTCCCCACCACAACATAACCCCGAATTGGCTGGATTACTCAATCAAGCCTCGACACTTCCCGCTGACCAATTGAGCATCATTCAAACTTTGATCAGTACAATGGTTATGAATAATTCTCAAAAACAGCGACCAAACTAGCAACGACAGCAGCAGTAAAATATTATGAGTCAAACTCTTGCTTGGAACAATTTATATATCATTTAGAATGTATAGCATGTATAACAGATAGGATAATTTAAGCGCTCACTAATCGCTTTTCATCATATTGCAAAGATATTAACTATTATATATTACAGTATAATTTAAAGTATATGTACATGATTCTATTAAACGATAAAAACTCGACTCTTTATCAAAAAGGTTTCGCGCATTTCCGAAGTTCTATTGCTTTTGTTTTTGGACACTGCATTTTTTGCCAAGATATCGGCATCATAGCTTCACCTAAAATCAATAATTATCAGCAAGGGGTGAAATGTCAAAGGAGAAAAGGAAAAAAACTTACCTGCAACACTTTGAGCATAAATCACCCCCAATTCGTTTTTCGCGGTCGATAGATAATAGGATCGCGCGTCCCCTAATGAAATCTTTACAGAGATGTTAACCGTACTTATATTCGATTTCAAAATAAACACAAATACAAAAAAACCAATACAAACAACTTCAGCTCTTATGATATCACCGGGCCGAAATGAATCGCAGATTTTGACTTTATCTTTTTCAGTAGCGCGAACATCTTGGGTTCTTGAAATAATTATTTTTAATATATAAAATCAGAAAATCAAATTAAATAAAAATAAAATAAACCTAATTATTCCTTGAAAGTCCTCTCTACAAGGAGAATTACCAACCACCATTATTGAAACAACGGCTTCTTTTGTTGTTATTCGTATGACTTTGCCCGTTATCTTTGTTTGAAATCAATTTAATGTCGAATTACGGGAAAAGATAAGAAAAAATAGACATACAACACTATCAACTTGCGGAACGGCCCATCGTTGCTTCTCCCTTACTATAGATAAAGTCGGTAACTTTGAGGTAAAAGGGTTAATTAGTTCCTTTGCTTAGTATAAAAATAACGCGTCGACCTTTCACACCTGCCCCTCCGAAGCTTGAGGCTGCTCCAACGTTTTTTGTCCAAATAAACTAGCGTGTATAAAGTTTCCGCGAGTGTATGTCCCTGGTCCGGCTTTAAACTCTTGCGCGGAGCCAATTCGCTGACCGGGTGTTACTAAAGTTGAAGTCATTGTCAAACTATTCCAATTCCAATAGCAGAAATTGTTTATGCAGATTTTTTTTTTTTAATGACAATGCAAAACGCATATGAATGCAAAATGAACAAAGTTCGTGGAATCTGGTGATTGGATGTGTTCTTTGGCGTGTGACAGCACCTGAAGAATAGAAAGTTCAATTTTGATTTACGCCTATAGTTTGGGGTTAGTATTCTTTGTAAAAAAAAAAAGCTTCGATCACACAAAGATTTTAATCATGGGATTGTATGATATAATATAAAAATCCTTTTCTTTTGGTGAAAACACACCAAAAGCAAATCAAACCAACTTCAACAGTTGGTTTAAGACTATCTAGTATTAGATAAGCCTTGAAACTTGAATAGTGGTTGCCTTCAACAGCGACTTTTAATATTTCTAGAGTCATGTCAGATATCATTAAGACGAGTGAGTCCGAATTACGTCAACGTTCGACGTGCATCGCCAACAAAGATGGGCATTCGAAACTTCTGAAAGAGAGTAAAGTAGTCGATAGTGATAGTATTAATAATAGTGCCGTTTCAAGTCCCTCAACTGAAAAAACATATAATGATATTGATAATAACCTCAATAATAATCGAGAAATATCAAACGAAGTTGTATATGGTAGAACTCCCGATGGCAAAGGTATCTTTAATCATCAAAGATTAATGAATCGAAATACTGAATAACTGATCAATGCAAATTACAAAGATCAACATATTATTGATGATTTACTTTTGGACTGGCCTAATTTCTTTTACACATAGTGTTCAAAGTGCCGCATACCACAGACATGTTAACCGCCGTATTTCTACCAAACATGCAAAAATCCACGTTTGATTATCTAACGATATTCGTGATGACATTACAAATCTTGTTATTTTTTGCTTTGCCGGCGCACATTCGACCATGGATCTATTTATTTTTGTTTATTTTTTGGCGTGGAGCTTATAATCTCGGATTAGGATTATTATTGAAATATCAAAGTGATCGGCGTATGTTTGTGACGTGGGTGAAACGTAAAAAGCTTTTTGATAAAGAGAAAAGTAGAAATGTGTACACATTCTTGAAACGAGAATTGAGTGCGAAAATGGGCAATGATTATGATTTTGATGTATTTATTTTTATTAGCTCATTCATTAAATCTTTCAATGATCTAATTATTACTTTATTTGAATCCGTGTAGACAGCTCCTATTGAATTCAATACTTGGCTTCTCTTTCGTGAACTCGTTGATTTGATCCTATTAAATGATTTCGTCTCGTACATGTGTTTTGCTCTGGCCAATTTCAGTATTCCAGAAAATTCTGGTGTCATCCTTAATGTGCTACGATGGGCTGGTGGATTGTTCTTGTTCTGGTTCAATATTTGGGTTAAAACTGATGCTCATCGAGTTGTCAAGGATTTTGCATGGTGTAATTATTTTGATTTTTTTTGTATCTTAATGCTTTCATTACTTTATATTTACGAGAGAATATCTTTTCTGCATTACATGTTACTGCTATCAACACAAGATTGGGGTGACTTTTTCTTTCTCGTCGAGCAATCCCTGACGTTTGATGGAGTGTTTGAAATGGCGCCGCATCCTATGTATTCCGTCGGGTATGTGGGCTACTATGGAATTTCATTGATGATGGCAAGCTACACCGTCTTGTTTGTTAGTTTGGCTGCACATGCTGCTCAGTTTGCTTTCTTGACGTTCGTGGAAAATCCTCGTGAGTGGGAAATCATTTATTTGCTGATTTTATTTTCCGCATGATTTTTAAAATGTTAATGCAGTAATCAATAATTGAACATAAAGATATTGATAAGACATATAATCCTCCACAACCGCTCAACGCCAAACACAAACAACGAACCAGCAGCCTTTCAACGGATCTATCTTCACGAACTTCCGAATCCGAATGTCTATCCACAACAGCAGGAATTCAACCAACTCTTCCCGATCTATCGAATGCATCAATTTCGCATTTCCGACATGATTTGATCGTCTTTAAGAATTTTGATCTGCTTCGTTCGACGGATTTATTCTTAGTTTTCATCATCTTTTACTCGGTGGTTGTGCCATTATTCATCGCTGGTGCTTCGGAGAATGTTGTTAAATTTTTCGTTATCGTGCAATGTTTAGCCTGGCGCGTATTTCATACCTATGGGTTAGGTGCCGTTTTATCCTTACAGAGTAGGGAAAAGGCATTGACTAAACATTACATTAAATACGGTGGAAGTGTTGGTGATGCATTTTCGAATTGGAAGAAGTGAAAATTCTTTTTTTTTCTTATTTTGTTTTATTTTCGTTTCTGAATTATTAAATTTTTTTTTATCATTATCTAGCGTCTACAATCTCTCATTATGCATGACATATGTGACTTTCTTTTTGGCCGCATGGTATATGTATCACCTTCCTGAGAACTGGACATATGGACTGGTGCTATTACGACACGTTCTCGGTGTATTACTTATCGTGTTACACATTTGGACTTCTGTTTCCGTATTCGAAGTATTGGGAGATTTCGGATGGTTTTATGGAGATTTTTTCATTGATGATTATCCCACGACTCTTTACTACACGGGCATCTACCGATTTCTTAATAACCCCGAAAAAATCATGGGACATTCCGCGTTCTGGGGTATCACCTTGATCGCCAATAGTTGGTTAATATTTGGATTATCATTGTTCTCTCAAATTTCAAACGTGCTGTTTTTGCGATACGTGGAAAGCCCACACATGAAGAGACTATACGGGGATAAAATACGGAAAGAGGCTGGCGTCACCAAAACGATTAAACGTGTCAAGACCATTATCCCTGGTAAAGTTAAGGCGGAAGTTTCGAAAATCCGAGAAGCACCCGAGATTCAGGTCGTTGAACGGGTTGTAAAAGAAGTCGCCGAGACGATGGAGAAAGTGGTTGAAGACGCGACCGAAGCTGTCGGAGAATTCGTGGGGGCGGCGCGCCCGAAAATACAGGAAGCCGTTCTCGAGGCAAGAATTTTGCTTCGAAACTCAAGGGATAAACTTCTATATGGGTAATTTTCTTTTTACAATTTATTTTAATTCACTATTTGTCCTCTAATACTAACTAAGCGGTTTTAATGCACATAGTCGCGGAATTGATGGTGTCGAGGATTATGATCTTACTCGATATTCAGTATCTCCTATTCCACCATCATCTACACATAACACAAATAATGTAAATAACATGGAGGCCGATAAACTCTTAACGCCACCTTCCTCACCTCATCCCAACGGAATACATGCTAATGGGAAGACAAATTCATCGTCAAATTCTTTATCACATGAACTTGGATCACCCATTAGAATAAAATGGACAGCTCCACAGAATCATTCCCGCCAAGATTGGATAGGTGTATATAAAGTTACAGCCAATTCATCACAAATGGTCACCAGTGTATCTAGTAATGGTCGATATTTATATGTCAGTCCGGAAGATGATGCTGAGGCTTCTTTTACCCTTAATAATAACAATAATGCATGTGATGATGAGGTAAAAACTGGTGAACTATGTTTCCGTGGAGATTTGCTACCTTGGGAAATTGGAACTTATGAATTCAGATATCATCATGATGATAAACACATGGTGATGACTGTGTCTCAGCCATTCGAAATTATCGGTAGGTGTTGATAATTCTAATTTCTTATCATTGTTTATACGTACTAATCTGAACCATCTATCTATGAATCGTATAATTAATAACAGTGAACACGCCAAAGTACCCAAAAGATCTTCCCACCATAGAACAATCGATTCTTGATTTGGTTCGAAAAGCTCTCGACTCGGACCCCTCTTTAGTACCACACACGACAAGTGACGATTATCTATTAATGAAAGAGGCGCATGCAAAACGTATTGTATACGGAATTAAAATGATGTTTGGCGTGGACTTTGCTTGGGAAGTGGTTGCTATCGATGGAAATGTTGGCAGATTAGCAAGAAGGGTTTGTATATTGTATTAAAAGTTATGTCATTATATACTGTTATGCGAGTTAATTAATATAAATATTTCCGATATAGATATATAATGCACTACGTGCACTCGCTCCTTTCTTGTAATGCATCATCGCCACAATCGCCATCATCCGAAAACCTTCGCCAAAGATCAATTATTGACAATGATCACCTTCAAGTGCGATTAATAACAGTAGTTGACTTCCCCTGATTAAGTGAGAGTGAGATTTGAATTATTTACAAAACGAAAAATTAGCACATGAAAACCTCAGAAAAAATTTTAATACATATTTTTATTAGTTTCATAAGAGATGCTTTTATGTATATTACATTTTGCAGGCATTTTTGATGCATATAAGCAATTGTTATCAGAAGTATCAATTTTTCCCGCGTTTCAAATTATTGAAATTCTATCTTTCGCGTTTGGAAAATATTTTGTATATAAGTAACAATGAATTGGCACATTTAATCTAAAATAAATGATCATATTTATTATTTCTACAAGAAAGTCTATCTTTCAAGAAACAAATCAACATTAAATCCGAGCTTTTTTAAAATTTCCGAGACCTTGTCACGATACTCCAACAATAACTTTTCAGCAGAGCTATTTATACTCGGTAAAGTTTCGCGATCTGATGATAATCCGAGTCCTAAATTAGACACGCTATCATCAAGATTACCACCGATCGATTGTTCTTCAGAATCACAACATGCACAATTCTCACATTTTTCCTGATCCCCTTGACAACATCCAATAAAATTATCGTTTTGATGAAGTTGCCGTTTTTGTTGTTTATCATCAAGATGTTTACAAGAGCATTTGGTTGTTGAGTTCTCCTGAACATTAAAATCCTTTGTAATAATATCATCACGGTCTTTTAATGTCTTCGTGTCCCCGTTATAATTTAACAAAAAATAATCTTTGGTGAACACATCATCATATGTCAATTTTGACAAATCATTCATCAAAGATCTCAATTGTGCAATTAGGAAATGATCAATATTATTATTATTATTCGGTGCGCTATTGCTGTCACTTTGACCATCACCGATATCCAGTGAATAGAACTCCAATATAGTGCTAAGACAAAATGTTATTACTATAGAATATTAACATTATAAACTCAAGCAACGTATTCACCGCACCTGCACACTCCACGTAATCGACCAAATTCTACACCAAACCGAGCGCCCTCTGCATACCCAACATCAAATCCACGCTGGAGAGTATTTTCTTTGCCTTCCTCTATACCATCTTTATAGCCAACCTTCATCAAGAGAGAGATTGATATTTAATTAACAAATTAAATTAATCTCCCGAAAAACAAATCAATAATCCATTTACATTTCCATAAATTTCATTCATGCGTTCCCATTCACGTTCTGCAATTTTTTTATCATATGTTACCGCCGTATTGGCAACATTTTCTTCTTCATCGGATGCCCAAACATCAGAGAGAGACATATTTTTTTATTTATAGTTAGTGATTAATGGATTTGATAAAGGATAAATGAGTTGATCCAATTGCATTCCACTGTGGCTTAGAAAATGAAAAGTATAAATAAGAGACCAATTCGCTTATCGTTTTTTTAAACATTAGCGTTAGTGTTAGAATCTTGAAACTTACATTCCTTCGTCGGATTTAAGTTCTTTACAACATAATTAGTATCAATTTAGAAAAATGCAACGACAAAACATTCTCAGTTCACAATCATTGTCATCAAATAACAATAATAATCCATCCCAAGATAATGTTTATTCACAACAACAGCAACAGCAAAGACCTCTAGTGCAAAGAAGCAATTCTACATCTGCATTGAGATATTCGCCTCCTGTTCCACAATTAATACGAATGAATTCTTTAAATTTTCGTGATAGCTCTAGCGGAGGTGGAAATATGTCCTCTTCAAGCAGTAATAGAGGGATGGTGATAGATCAACATCCACATCAGCGTGGTGCTGGTTATAGTGGTGCCACTGGTAAGTATAATAATAATAATAATTTCTATAATAATAATAATAATAATAACAATAATAATAATTCAGCGAGAGACGTTGAGTTGGGCGGGGTTAAGGTTTTATATAGTGGTGATCATACAATAGATAAAAATGAAAATTTCATGAATGCTGTAAGGGCTTTGACAGATATTACGTAATATCCTGAGGGGGGCTCTATAGTAAATCTACATTACGTAATATATGTCACGGTCCTAACGCCATCACCCACTCTAATTCTAAAAGTAGAATCTAACCGAATTTACATTTATCAATGAAAAAGATGGTAATGGTGGTGGTGATTTTGATCATTGAAAAGAGGTCGTGCTACTGGATTTAATGGGTGGCAATGTTAGTATCGATAATAATGACAAAGCCATGTATCATCAGTAATAACTATAATTTACTTGCACCTTCAAATACTATGTCAGGAATGATGATTGATGGACGAGGGGGTTACTTGCATCAACAACATCTTCAAAGTAATAACAGTCCAGTCTCTACACCAAGGTAAATTTATGTTCATGCTTATTTTTTGTAATTTTTATTTTTGATCGATTTTCAATCAATACTACTTTACTCAGGCAGGATTTCAGTTCAAGTCCTTTTGGCTCTTTAAATAGTCCAACAATACAACATCAACATCAACATCATCAGCAACAACCACCACCACAAGAACAACAAGAACAACAACACGATTTAGAACAACAGCAACAGTCACAATATAATAAAGACGCTGAGGTATTTATTTGTCTATTTATTCATCCGTCTTTTGATTATAAGGTTCATTTTATTCATGATTATTATTTCATGTTTTTTTAAAAAAAAAAAAACTAGAAAATCCGACAAGAAGAAGAAACTTTAAGGCAACATGCTGAGTTTCATTTACGTCAATCAGAACTTCAATGTTGGACCACTTTTGTTCCGGTCCCTAGTCGATATAATGGATACTTGATACCCGTGATTCCCGATTTTTCCCCATACTAAACAATCATCATATGTAAAAAAAAAAACGAGCCGTTCCTAATTTATTACATTCGTCAAAAGTAAAGATTAAGCCGGATATTGCTCGGCAAAAACATAGTGATCATGCCCCATAAATACGGGAGACCAGTATTTCTTCTACTTTCACATAAAAAACCTGCAAACTCTTTATTAGAATAAAATAATTATCCTTTCTAAATGTTATTTACACGATCAAAAAGGAATAAACATATTTTTGGCCTTCTAATCTCGAAATATAAAATTTAACGATTGAAAAGAAATTCTCGATAATCAGAATTGTGGAATATGTTGATCGGCTCTTTCTTTACCTTTACTTTTTGATGATGAAGATAATTTTTGATTCATTAAATGAGTAAGTCGAGCCTCAAGATCCGGGGAATCATCTTCCTCTTCATATCCAGGATGAGTAACAACAAAGCGATTCTTTTTATGCGGATGACAATTATCCTCATATTCACCTGAATTAATGACGGCCTTTTGTTCAAGTGACACCTGTGATATTGCACCATCCAACTCCATTTCGACTGTGTTTTGACGTTGGAATCGGTGTGGAGGAGTGACTTCTGGGGTAATCATGCCTTGATGTGCACTTGTGCGACGGATTGGCGTGGTAAATTTTTCTGCAATTGATCCTCGACGACGGTGAGGAGTTAATGGGGTTATATTATTCGAAGTGGGTGAGGAAAGTGATATTGAGGAGGTGGATGTTTTCATATTCACATTTTGAATCACAGGTTTTGATGCTGGTGCATTTGGACGCTTAAATTTCGTAGTAGCTCTTAGATATCCTGATATTTGAATTGGGTATGCAGTTTCAATACCAGATATTTGCATATAACTAATATATTATTATGCAAGTTTGGTGATAAGTTAGATTTTGTATTCACATAAATCCAAAGAAAAAAGAAAAAATTATCTTTACTTTGAATTTTTGGGAATTTTGTCATTTAATTGAAAATTTATTTGTATGGGTTTATCATTTGTATCGTGTTTTGATTGTATCTGTTTATGTTTATTTAATCCTTTGAATAGAGATACAATCAACTATAATATAAAAAAATAAATTAATAAATTTATGGGGATAAGCTAGTCGGAAAAATTCAAAAATACCTTAAAGTCTGCGATATCAAAATTCACATAGACCCAATTTTCTAAATTGTGAAAAAACACGAGATTATTAGGTATCTCTATCGACACTATGGGTCCGTCATGATTAGGGTTTGTCTCATAGTCAGTCTGAAAAAATAGACGACGCGATTTTGTTTCATCGGTCCATAACGTAACCTTCGATCCGAATTCATTTTTTTTCCCGACATCAAATGGTTTTAGTCTGTTGTGAAGTGTATTAGAAACCATTTGGATTTGATATTCGTGAGCAAGTTGTATCTGTGGAAGTTTGATATCTGCATCGGAGCATCTAATCCGATCAGTCTTTACTTGTCCTAAATGAATGAAGAAACCGAATTGGATCATTTTTTTCACTTGAATAATCAAGTTTTCAAAAAAAAATATATATAATTCAATAATAACATACCACTGATCAAGGTACAAGTAACAATAAGCAAATTTGGTGGAAATCCTACGGGTGCACCAGAACTTACTTTCCATCCGTATAAATCAATGTATGTCGGGTTAAATATTGCATTTTTTAAATTCTGCGATACGATCTTTACGGCAACCGCATCAGGGAAATCAAGAACAATTTCACGGCTTCTGGTGTATTCTCTCATATCTTCGCTTTTTTTGTAAGGGGTTGTCTGATCGCGTCCGCGTATTACTATTCGTTCAAAGAATTGATTCGGGAATAATAATTGCAAATAGGTTGTCCCTTGAACTCCCAGGGACAAAAAGACCAACTGTTTATTCGAAAAGATATTGAAATGTTATTTTCAGGGTCTGAGAAATGTAATCAAAACAAAAAAACGATCGAACTTACGCCATCGGTATCACCATATATGACGATGTCTCCGCCAGACTTGATTATAGTTTTGAGTGCCTTAATAAAAGCTATATTATATATAAATTATGAGTGGAGCCATAACAAAGCAACGAGCAATGAGGCGGGGATTAGCCAAATAACGAATTACTTTCGTTTGAATTTATAATTACCATAAATGTTTCTTTTGCCCACCGAGAATTCCAGCATTTTACACACCAAAATGAGAAACGAGTCTTGTCTTTAAAAGCGCGTAATGTGAATACTTGTCACAAAATAGAACAGTAATATTCAACAAAAATAACCAAAAAAAAAAAAATGGGATTCACGAGGAGGGGTAAATGCAGAAAAAAAGAATTTCGTTATTGTCGCTACTAAGTGTTTTTTTTATTATTTTATTGTGTGGTAAATGCGCAGTTAAAGTGTTTTTAATTTGTACAAATAGATGTTTGTTTATGATCAATGTGTATCAGAACATTATTTATACGTACATGTAATCAATTTATAAAGAAAACAATAAAAGACCCAATTTCAAAAATCTGATTTTATTACATAATAGAAATAAATATTCATTTCGAAAATACTATAGAATTCTCTTTAGCAATTAAATCCATCGCGTAAGCTTTATCAATATCAACAGCAGTGCCAAGCCCACATTGATAAAATTTAGCTAATCGTTTCGTGGCTTTAACAACACCAACATTCGATGCTTTTCTATACCAATCAAAGGCTTTTTTATCATCTCGTAATACACCAAGTTGACAATAATCATAAATACGGCCGAGAGCCAAATAAGCGTTTGCCACTTCATCGGTAACTTTTTCTGCTTCTGCGGCTTTTAAATACCATTTGAGTGCCAATTTATTATCTTCCGTCGTGGCAATTCCATGATGATAATGATACGCTAACCAATATTGAGCATTCGAGTCGCCACTTTCGGCAGCTTTTTGGTACCAATGAAAAGCGCGTAGTTCGTCTTTTTTAGTGCCGATTCCTAATCGAAAACATTCAGCTGTATTGAATTGTGCACAAGAAAGACCACTCCCTGCCGCTTTATAATAATAGGTGAAGGCTTTTTCTATATCTTTTTTTGCATGTATACCTTCTTCATACCAGTACCCAATTTTATTTTGAGCGCCAGGGTTTCCGGAATCTGCGGCTTTTATGTACCAATCGAAAGCCATCTTCATATTTACAGAGGTGCCAATTCCACGCTCATAGCATCTTCCAAGACGATATTGGTTACATGTGCAAATCAAATCATTATATTCTTCGGCTTTCTTGTAGTTTTTGAAAGCTTTTACAAAAGATTGTCGCACGCCAGTCCCGTTTTCGTAACACATAGCAAGGAACAAATATCCGTACGAGAAATTATTTTGCGCTGCAACACTATATGCTGCAAATGCTTTCGCGGCATCTTGACATTCCGGGATTTGTTCATGACAGAAACCAAGTAGACATTTGTATTGTTTAGTGCCTTTATTTTGTAATTCTTCTAGTAGCTTGGACAATGAAAGTTTCTGTTGTTTGAGGTAGTTCCTTATGTTCTCAACTATTTCGATGTAGTGTGTTCCTTTATTGATTTGTTTTAGGAAATTGATGGCCAGGCTGTTCAGCGGGCCGTTTTGATGAGGGGATTGAGAGTTGGCTGGCATTTGGAATTGCTACTGATAATGTATGTATATAAACGAAAATGATTTCTTTGAGAAGCAAAGTTGATCTATATATAGATATCGATATAGTTGGTATGTATGCGCGCGGATGTATTTGGTTATATACAATAACGATAATTTGTTTATATACAATAGATAGTAAAACCAGCTACGTATCTAGTTTGCTGAGTGAATGAATTGTGAAATAGTGAGGAAAAACCTGGGATTGAAATGAACGACTGATCGCTCCTTTATATAGATGTGGATTGAGGAAGAGACTAAACTTAAACGCATAACGATAAAGAACAAAGATTTTCTTTTTGATTTTCAGTTGTGTCAGAAATGAGTACAAGCGACACTTAATATTCTTTTATTTCGACTAAAAATAGTCGATTTTTGATTTTCAAGTTTAAAGCCTAAAATTGATTAGTCTCAAACTAACAATGGCATCAAAACTAACAGTGGCAAGATGTCCCAATTTAAACATCGCGGAAATTAACGCTTTTTTGTTTATTGTAGTGAAACAAGTTTGCATTTGTTAACAGAGGAAAATATTATCGTTATCTTTATCGTTAGTATATTACTTTGTCCACTTTCACGTAACACCAGCTTTATGCGCCACTGGGATACGTTACTTTGTCTGCTTTCACGTAACCCCAACTTTACGCGCTACCCACCTTCCCATTATCTATGTCGAGTACTGTGTAGTGGTTACCCACAGACCACTGTGGGAAAATTGCATAATTTTTTGTGTTTAGCAAATTACAAATCAAAATGATATTTTAAGATATTTAAATAATCTGAAGTAAAAAGAAATGTTTTTCATTACAATTTTAGGTAAAAAACAAAAGCACGTTTTAGAGAATGTAACTACGTAGTTTGGAAAAATTATTATACTGGTAATGTTCCGTGTTACATCAAACAAACTGACGAATGCATAAATGTGTTGTGGGTTTTCAAACCATCCTTTGCATTGAGAACAAATCTAAAAATGAAAGATATTTAAATATCATAAACAGGATTCATTATTTATTCACCTATCCGACTTGTCCTAAATTGTGCACTAATTTTACATATTCTCTTTAACTCATGGTAAAGCTGCTTTATGAATCCTGAAGCATGCCTGCGAGATGAAGATAAAAGCGAACAGACAATGACGTTTGGATTATACAAATTCCGATTTGTATTTATAATTCGGCAGCATAATTTCGATAATTTTACAATAATTAATACATGTATTATGATTTAACCCCTACATGTCAATATAATTACTGGCGCATAGAAACAGAAACACAATAAAAATGCAGCATTAGGAAAGAGATCAAAAAAAGTTATTTTATCAAAACAAACTGTTACCAATGTTGTGTATATAAAGATAAAAATAATATTATTCTCCGTTTTCCAGCATAATTATCAAATTTTGCGAAACTGTTTTGCATAGAATCCACGAAGAATATTAGAGAACATTGAAAATGATTTGATAGTTGTTTTTGACAAGTACAAGAGATTGTAATTGCATTGACTAGTTGTCGGATATTATGATTCTATTATAATTGTTATTACTTTAACATAATAATTTAATAAAAAAGAAAATTTATGTTAAGAAATATAGTTAAAATTTTATATAAGCAAATTCTATTTTTCTGAACTATATCATATTTCTCTTTATGGACCAGTTCAAAACAGTTGATACACCAATTGGCTATTAAAAAATTTTTTACATTAAAATTTTAATTGTTTTTACCAAATATAAATTTAGATTATAATTTATTTATAAAAAATTTTAGTAAACAATAATAAATTTACATTTTAATCAAATTAGTTTTAATATATTATTTATTATATTGATTAATATCAAAAATTTATTTTGTATATTTGTATTATTTTAAATTTTATAAATTATTTAAAATAATTTTTATTTTTCAAGATATTATTTCTTAATTTAATTTATATTCAAAACAAATTTGTTTGGAAATTTTAAATTTTTTGATATTTTTTATTTATATTTTCAAATTATGTTAAATAAAAATTCTCTTAATATCTAATAATTTAAAATTAGCAAAATTTAAAATATATAAAAATAATATTAAATAAATTAATTTATAAATATTTGTTAAAATTGTATTAATTATATATATTTATTTGTAATAATTTTTGATTTAAATTTATTAAAACTAAATAAAATTTTATTTTTAATAATAAAGCAAAATTATATAATAATAATATTTTAAAAATACAAAAAATTATTTTCAGACAAATTTATCTAAAATAATTTATAATTAAAAAATAAAATTTTATATATTTACTAGTAATTATATATAAAGTTAAATAAGATTAAGTATTAAAAAGCATATTATATTTAATATTTTTATGAATTAAACTAATTAGAATTTTATTTAAATTCAAGTTTAATTTGCTATTTAAATTAAATAATTGAATTTTGGCTTGAATTTAAAAAAGATTCAAAGTCTAAATTTAAATTAAATTATTATTTAAGTTTAAATATAGTTCAAGTTTAATTTGAATTTAATTTAAAATTAATATATACTAATTTATAATTCTAAATTTGTATTATAATTTTATTTATAAGTATATTTTATAATATATTAAAAATTAAATACTTACTTAGAGATAACTAAAATATTTTTATTTTTATATTTATTGAATTTTATTATAAATACTATATAATTCTAAATATTTATTATTAATATTGATTATTTTATAATAATTAAAAATATTTATAGTAATAATTAAAAATAATGCAATAATATTAAAATTTATTAATTAAATATAGTAAAATACAGATTTTTCTCTTTATATAAAAGTTTTTAATTTTACTAATAAATATTTTTTATTTTATATTAAAATAAAAATAATATTATATATTTTAATATATATTTTTTTCAGATTTTTTAAATTTAATTTGATAAAACTGTTTTAATTATATATAAAATTAATTATTTTTTTATAATTAAAACATATAAAAAAATAATTAACTTTATATATAATTAGAATAGCTTTATCAGATTAAATCTAAAAAATCTGAAAAAAATATATGTTAAAATATTTGAAATTATCTTTATTTTAAAATAAAAAAATAGTTATTAGTAAAATTGAAAACTTTTATATAAAGAGAAAAATCTGTATTTTACTATATTTAATTAATAAATTTTAATATTATTGTATTATTTCTAATTGCCACTATATAATTTATAAAAATTTTTATTTAGAAAATATTATTAAGAGATTTATAAAAATAATATTATAGTCAAATTTCTTTATAATCACATCTATTTATAGTTATAATTATTATATTTTACTTTTTTATTTATATAAATATAGTAAAAAATCTCTTTATAGTCACATTCTCTTTATAGTTACCCAATTTTGCATTTCTGAAGATAATAATTATAGAAAAATTTGATTATATAATAAAATTCAGATTTAATAATAACAAAAACTGAAAATATAATCTTAAAATTTTAGAATTTATTATTTTAACTTTAATAAATAAAAATTATAATACTATAATATATAAATCAAATTTCTCTATAAGTATATCTATTTATAGTTATATTTCTTTATTATAGTTTGCTTTTTTATAATTATATTCTTTCTAGTCATTAGAGAAATTTGACTGTATAAACTAAAAAAATTTTATTTATTAAAATATTTTCTTTTATCTTATATAATAAAATATAAAATATATTATTAAATATTTTAAAAATACTTAAATATAAATCATTTTTATGCATTTTTAAAGTATTTTAATAATACAATCTAAAAATTAGAGAATTTGGACAAATTATAAAAATTCTATAATATTAATTTGAAAATATTTACTAATAAAATCAAAATATAATTATAATAAAATTATATATTGTTGTATTTAATATACTTTTTTAAAAACACATGCATAGTTTAAGTGCTTTAAAAATATCTTTATTTAAAATCATTTTAAAATAAACAAGCCTTCGCCCATTAGGAAAAAATGTTCAGCTTATAAATTATTTAGCAAAGTAAAATCGAAATATTACCAGATATAGTACTTATAATATTTTAGCATGTCAAAGTCTGCGTTGACATGTATCGATTTTTGAGAGCATAATAACCTACTTAGAGACATTTCAAAAATAAATTTTTTGTGTGGTTGTTTTTAAAAAATGGTACTTTTTTTAAAAAAACCAACCGCCATTACTTTCCACCGGAACTGTACGCATATCGTATATCTCCGAAAATAAGCTATCAAAAAACAAGGGGTAGCTTATTTTCGGGGTCAAGTTTACTAAGTTTACATATACTTATTAACGGAGATATGCGGTATTTATACTCTTGACCAGTACTTATCTGCTAACTAATCATCTACAGCATAAATTTATTTTCTTTAATGCAAATTGCTGCAACATTTCCACATAATGAAACAGACAGGTCCCCTTGCAACATTGGACATTTAATTTGAACATCCGATGCCCTCCAGAAAAAAAACGAAGTTTGGGATATACATTTAAATAGAGATTTTCACTGCATAAAAAAGCCTGCTTAGAGTCAGAAGTCAAGTTTTTGCTCCATTTGCAAATATGCAAATTCACAATAATCCCATTCTAAATATGTAAAAAGACAAATATTAAAACTAAACCTAAAGAATTGATTACATCTCAGGTTGGATTGCTAGATAAAACTATTTCTCAATAGGAATCAATTCTTACCCGTAAAGTCAAAAAGGAAAAATCGCTAGTTTTATTCGAATATTGTCGACATTTTCAAGGGAACTATCAGAAGAAATTAACGTTACAACATTTATCATTTGATTAAACGCAGCATTATATTAATCCGTTTTCTCGTGAGTAATGTATTGGGGAAATTTTTATTGTTATACAAATACGTCATATTTTTCTTTTGTCCTCTCCTTCAGTTTTTCGGAGCAAGTGCGTTATATCAATACTGTCGCTATGCTTATTTGCACATTAATAAAAATATATTTGTCATCATCACCTCCAATCCTATTATTTAACAATTTCTCGACTAATCCCCAAGTTTCACGAATGCAGTCAGAGCTCGTTATATTAATACATTTTTAGAAACTTTTAAATGAATTTTATAATGCCAGTTCCAAGAGCATGCTTTAAGAGAAGTATCACTTATTACAATAATTATTCGTTTATACTCTTGGAGCTGGCACTAAAGGTTTCTAATATAATCAGCAGTCTATGTAGAAGCAATGACATCACCGCTATGCACACACATCCTGTTCACGCGAAAGAATTCGGGCGAACACGTTTTGCCGATTGATGAACTAAACGAGCTCGTAAATTAACCACCAACATGAACAAGTATCCAATTATGGCTAAAACAAGTAATAAAATTGCTTTTTGCTCACGAATTTCATTTGTGTTGGCATGCAAGTTAATTAATTCTTGATATTGAGTGCTTTAAAAAACTGCAACCTGTTTTTACTTGTTATTTGCAGTGAGACCTAACGCCAATAATCGAGGGAAAATCGAGCTTATTATAGTAATTTTTCTATAAGTATTGTTTCTTTTGAATTCTCAAAAGAAGGGCAAAAATGGTAGTGTTCCGTTGATCTTTTCTCTTTCTATTTTCTATTCGTGTTACATTGAAATCTGCATCGTTATTAATAAAAAATTGCAGTGATTCAATATAAATATGAGTGTACGTTTTGGTATTCTTGATAAAATTAATTTCTTAAAAATGCAAATTTCACAAAACAACAACGGACCACTTAACGGAGTCTCAAAAATTTTCATGGAATCAATAAGACGTGGTACAATGTACACACAAATAGAACAAGAAATCCGAGGATACTTGAAAAATAGCAATATCTCCATCGAAGAGTTTGTGAAGCGACTGGAAAATTCAAACTATCGTCAAATATTTAAGTGCATTCTCGGTTTTTGCTATGAACACAATATTGGAACATTGGATCATGTGAAGGCATTTCAAAATTATAAATATTCTGCGGATAATAATTCCTCGTATGGCCATTTGTTCGTGGGTATATGTTATGAAAACGGAACCGGGGTAGCAGAAAATCACGAAGAAGCATTGAAACATTATGAGATATCAGCAAAAAATAATAATCCATGTGCACAATACCGTCTAGCAAGATGCTATGAACGTGGAATCGGAACTCCAGTCGACCAAGCGGAATCTTTGAACTGGTTTTTGAAGTCGGCACAATCTGGAAATTTAGGTGCACAAAATAATCTCGGATATTTGTATCAGCAAGGAAACGATGCCGTCGAGAAAAATCCAAGAAAATCTTTTGATTGGTATTATAAAGCGGCAGACAATGGATTACCTTGTGCTCAGTTCAATTTGGCTGAATGTCTTCGAATGGGGCGTGGTACTAAACAAGACAAAAAACGAGCCTATTATTGGTATCAGAAAGCCGCTGCGGGTGGAGATCCAAGTGCTCAATATTGGCTGGCTAAATTTTTAGAATCGGGAATTGCTGTAAAGAAAAACGAGAAATTGGCGTTAGAATGGTATATGAAAGCTGTCGAAAATAAATTCGTCACAGACGAGGTTGTAAACGCTTATGTTACTGTTGGAAATTTTTATGAGAATGGAAGATTGGGTGTTAAAAAGAATGGAAAGAAAGCATTTGATTGGTTTATGAAAGCGGCTGAAAAAGAAAATTCGAACGCCATGTTAAAAGTAGCAGAGTTTTATGAGCTGGGATTCGGAACTATGGTAGACCTTGAAGAAGCTAAAAAATGGCGGAATGCCGCACACGGAATTGGTGCACAAGAAAAAGATGCAGAACTTGTAAATCGTTGTGGATGATGATAACGTGTACTGTATTTTTGAACTTTTATATATGTTAGCATATTTCTTATTAATACGTATATGGATTATTAGTTGTACTGCATATTACCGTAAGACGCTCTCTTTAGCCTCAACTACACACCTTTCTTTTTGTATTGGACCAGGTATTCTAAATACGTAATGGCATAATTAAAACTATATATAGTACGTAGTTATAGACATACTGTATTCAAAAATGAAATACAATATGTATTATTATTATTAAGATAAAGTAATTAATAATTTTCAATCGTTGATGGCTAACCTCCTTCATTTCTGATTATGAAGGAATTTCCAATTATATAAAAATTTCTGTACAATTATCTCAATTGACCGGATTGTTTGAAAAATCATAAGCTTTAACCGGATATCTCGATAAATTTCCTCTGGTTTAACGAGTCACTTAACAGTATTCTCAAATATATAATAAAAAAGACAAATCATTGTCCACTCACTCGTTTATTTATTTTCCAGAAGCTATGCTACAGTATATAAATAGAGCTACATAAATAGGTCGAAGTTTTAAGTCATCTGAGCAAACATTATGTGCTATTAATGCTACCTATCTGAAATGTACATTAGTTATAAAATTACAAAATTTTTGATGGTGAAAGGGAGAAGGATAAGGATTTTCGATCATTATTCGTGTCACTTTCTTTTCCAATTACTGCCAATTTATTTGCTTTGTCAAGATCAATTTCAGTTCCAAGGCCATGTCGATAACACTCAGCTAATCGTTTAGTAGCTTCGTCAACACCGGCATCCGATGCTTTTTGGTACCATTCAAAAGCTTTTTTATTATCACGAACCGTGCCAAGTTGACCATAATCATAAATAAGAGCAAGATTGTAATAAGTTTGGATAATTTCATCAGTGACTTCAATCGCTTTAGCTGCTTCCAAATACCATTTCAACGCCAATCTGTTGCTTTGGTTAGCCCCTTCCTTTCGATAATACTGTGCTAACCAGAATTGAGCACCTGATTCTCCATTCGCGGCAGCTTTTTGATACCAATGAAAAGCGCGTGCATCGTCTTTTTTGGTGCCACATCCGCGACGAAGAAATTCAGCTGTATTGAATTGGGCACAGGGAAGACCTTCTTTTGCTGCTTGATAGTAGTGTTTATATGCTTCTGAGAGATCTTTTTTCACATATTCGCCTTTTTCGTACCAGCAACCGATGTTATTCAGAGCGCCAAGATTACCGGCAATTATGGCTTTCTTGAACCAATGGAAAGCAAGCTTAATATCAACTGGTGTTCCTACACCACGCTCATAGCACCTAGCAAGACGATATTGACCACACGCAAAATTATTGTCTGTACTGTATTCAACCGATTTCTGATAATATTCGAAAGCTCTTTTGGGATTTTTCCTTACGCCGCTACCATTTTCATAACAGATACCGACGAATAAATATCCATATGAATAATTTGTCTCCGCTGCAGCTTTATACTCTGCAAAGGCTTTTCTCGGATCGTAACATTCACGGAATTTTTCATGAAAAAATCCATTCAATACTCTAAATTGTTTACGGTACTCGTGACCTCGATAACCATTTTCAATACGTTCCAAGATTTCGGCGAGTTCAAGATTCTGCTCTTCAAGGTAATCACAGATGCTTCGTTGTATTTGCGAGTATTTTGTGCCTTTGTTAATTTGTTCTATGAATTGTTTGGCCAATCCGTTCAACGGACCGTCGTGTCGTGAGTACGAATAAGATTTGCGTGTGGTGTTGGAGGTTTTTGAAGCGTAGTTTGGCATTTTTGGCAGGAATGATTGTAAAAGAAAATTTATGGGTTTGAAATAGAGAAAAGATAGATATAGTATAAATATATGGATATGTATATGTTGTAGATAGGTAGCCCGGCTATCTATTTACAGGGAAAAGTGAGTGAGTGGTAGTAAGTTTATTAAGATTTGTGAGGAAAAGCCTGAAGATACGAGAACAAATTAAATGTGTTTATATACAAAATTTGGACTAATATTGATAAGTATATCGATATTTTTAATTAACATCCATCTTTTTTTAGACTGATTTCATCAATTATTTATTAACCTTAGCTTTTTTAGACTTTGAATTCATTGCGTTTCATTATAAATTAAGAACAAAAGCATTTAGGATAAATGCGACAATGATCAACATAAGGATTGATAATAATAATAATCGAAAATTAAAAAAAACAAAGGCAAAAGAAAACAAAGATCGCTAGATCGTTCGTTATTGAATTTTAGAATAAGAAAGGGGTAAATTTTGGCCCTGGGGATAATATTAACGTTTATATTATATGCATCAATAATGTAATACGGAGATTCCTACCTATTTCAACTATTCGTATAGCATTGTTTTAAATCTTTAGCAGAAACAATGTTACAAAATGACTTGATAATGGAGAAAATTTCCATATGTAGCAGCCAAGAGATAAACAAAGTTATGCACACATGTACAACCAAATACATGTACGTAGTAAATCTCGGGCATTAGCTTTCAATTTCATCGCCTTCATCTCACGAATAGTTAATTTTAAGTACATGTATATACGATCATGCTGTTTCTAAATATATTGTCAGCAATATGGCTAAAATGTTTGAGAATTCCACGAAAAATTCCAGATTTGCAACAAAAAACATGCGTCAAGCCATCAAAGAAAGAAAATGCCAGTCATCATTACATGTCGTGTTCTATTGCTGCGTTATATCGTTATATTGCTACACATAATGATAATGCGTACATATACAAGTTTATACCAATGTAATATAAAAATTTAAGTATAGTCCGTAATAAAATGTGTGTTGGTTACTACGTATTCGGTAAATGATACAACAATAACCGAAAGTTGCGATATCTGTTTTTGATAATGCTATTTGAATAATTAAAAGAGTTAAAGGTAATTCGGTTAAAAAATTTAACGGAAAAGCTTTTTCTTTGAAAAATGCATTAGTGTTGGTGCTTTTCAAAAGATTATTCTAAATTGGATAACTCTTTGTACAATAACCAGAGGCGAAGACGGATTTGTTTCTTGTTCCGGTTTTAAAAATAGTCTGCTCCCATTTTTGCTTGCCCTGCTGTAAACGGGAATAAAATAATTCCGGTAAGTTTTATTCTTTTTACGTGTATTCGTTTTGTTCCTAAAGTTTATAAAAAAAATAACAGCGAATAGCAAAGAGATAGATCACCATATCGAGAAGAACTCAATGATAAGATTCAACGTTCGCAAAAGGAATTTTAGAACAAAGAAGAAAAATCACTACATCAAAGTTGTAGCCTGAGTTGCTTTTACGGTGGTATCGTTTGTTTTCGTGCATTAGTTTATCTAGTAACAAGTTATCCAAGCCATTTATTATGACCTAATGTTTCCAGGAAAATGGTAAAAAGTATATTCTTTTGCTTTTATTCTTTTTATAAATTTAACGGTTAGCAAATTAAGTCATAGAACCCACCGAATTGGAGTCAGAGCGCGAAATTGAAGGATTAAAAATTCATTAGAGAGTTTCAAGTCAGTGTTGTCGTTTGGACGTAAATCCAGCAATTTGATTTGTTAGGACGCTTGTCACAACCAATCGAATCGCTGGATTTACGTCCAAGTGACAACACTGGTTTCAAGTGCTTTGAAGGTTTACATTGAATAATATTGATTGTGCACTAGATAGATTTTCTATCTTACACATTAATTAGAAGATACTTATTTAACTCGATGAGAAATTTTATTGAGTGTATGAAGCGATTATGTATATAGATTATCGTTATGTATGAAAAACTATAACGGTAACGCTGAAATCTAAAGCTATGACATTTTAATATTAAATGCGTAAAATTCAAGTGAATTGCCCAAGTTGTTTAATAAATTTTTAATATCTGTGATTTTGTCTTTTTCTAATTCAGAAATGTTAACGTCTTTCATAGAAGCAACTATTAAACTCAACGTCTCGGGGTAAGTGTTTAAGAAAGTTTCAAACTTTTCCGTAACGGTAATTGTTATCAACCATTATTTCTTGATTGGTTAATTGTTCACATTTATTGTGATAGCCTAAATTTGAATTCAAATATAGGCGATGTTGAAATAAACTTAACGTTAAACTATATAAAATTTAATGACGATACCGAATAAATTTTTTACTTGGCTTTAACGTTAGAACAAATTTAGTAATTACGATTTTTTCAAGAAATCCGGGATTTTGACTTTGTAATTCAAATTTGTCATCGCATTGATGCTTCGTCTAGAAAAGACTTCTGAGAGCGGGAATTACGGATTTTGGGCGAAATTAAGGAATTATGTTTAAATCTACAAAGTTTTGTTTTTTACGTGTATGGTGCATAAAATCTAAAGTCATCAAACGTTTGTATTTTACAAAATGTATAAACTTCTTTACTAAGAAGTAAATACAAAATTTAATCCGTGAATATGCTCAGAAAGGGCTTATTCTATCATATTCACGGATTAAATTTTGCATTTACTTCTTTGTAAAGATGTTTATACATTTTATAAAACACAACGTTTGATGACTTTAGATTTTATGCACCATATATAGCTGTTTGGTAGAACAGATCTACTTTAGAATCGATTTTGGGTTGAGAATCGATTCTCAAATTGAAAATCGATTATATAATCGAATTTATTTATATAAAACCGGACAACAACAAACGAATCCAAATAACTTGCCTGACGAGTTCAAAAGTAAATTCAAGAATTTAGAAATGGAAGGCCTCCGAAACGAGTGGAGTAGATTAATTTATCTTAGTCGAGGACAAGCAAAATCTTTACTTTCTCCTTCGTAAATGATTTTCCGACTTTATTCGCCAAGAATACATTCAAGAAATTCCTGCAAGTTTCACCCATTAACGTTAATTCTTTTATTCCTCCTATGAACATAATTACATTTTTTTATAAATAGCGAGTATCTAGTGAAAAAGAAGAAGCAAAGCAATCTCGAGAAAGCTTTGATAACTTACGTCAAAACATTGGAGATTTTTTGGCCAAGCTTCCAAGGATCGTATTTTTATTTTAGGTAACATGAAGCAACGAGAATTAAAGCAAAAGGAATTAAATCAATTGCTCGATGAACTCGAAACAAAGTCAATATTGAAATGCTAGCAAAAGATATGGAACCATTCTTTGATTTATGGTTTTGCTTCGAGAAATCATTACGTGGAATTTTTGAATGTTATAAAAGATAGTATCGATAAGGCGGGTAATAATCGATTCACTCTAGCTATGATAAATCGTAATATTAATATTAGTGGGAAAGATGAATTAAAAAATTAGGCTCTTTACTCGTTCTTTATGCAGCTAACATTCTGCTTGAGATCAGGATAGCAATTTATATTTTTTTATCAAAGTATTTCATCACACCGAATTTTTTTTAATAACAAATTTATATGTGATTGAGAAAAAATGCGTGTCGCAAAAGAAATTCAACTCTTGCGATAGTTGCATAGCGTAATCTTGGTACTGTAGTATTTATTTCAACCAAATTCACAATTTCATTATGATTTCCTCAATATATCCGAGTCACTTTAACTAACTACATACTAATGAGATCCTGTTCTTCGAGTGTCATTCTAATAGACCTGGCGTCTAAACATTTTATCCGAAATAACACGTTATTATATAATTTTTCTTAATATTGGGAGGTCTGATAATCCTGGCTTTAGGATATTAAATATAAAAATTGAAGGAAGTATCAGGCTATTGATAATTTATACAATTATAATAGTAAAGACTCTTCATGCCATGAAAAAATTAAAGTGAATACAAGTACTGAGTAGCCTGTATTCGCATGTAAATTTCCATTGACACGCAAGAAATTCCTGCAGCTCCGTTGGATTAAAATAAATTTATCACATTAGTATTCGAAATTTGGGTTTAAGAGAACAGCATGTGTACTTGATGTAACCAAGTGATAACAGAGCATGGGAGCTATGGTGCATAACATCTAAAGTCATCAAATGTTTGTATTTTATAAAATGTATAAACTTCTCAACTAAGAAATAAATTCAAAATTTAATCCATAAATATGGTAGAGAAAGGCTTATCTGTTATATGTCGTTTCGGGATTCACGTCAATTCCGAAACGACGTATAACAACACTAGTGACAGATATAAAGTAATCAAGAAAGCAATAAAATGGGCCAAAAGTCTCAAGAAAGTGTCACCAGCAAAAATTTCACCTAGTGAAAACTATGATAGATGAAATAACACTTTTGCGTAATTTATTAAATAATAAGCAAAAATATGTTAAATGACATTTATTGAAAAAGAAATTTATTTAAACTCATTACACATTAGTCAAGGTCAACTAGACATAATTATTATGATGAGATTAAAGGATAATAAAATAACATCAAAGTCCCCTTCCCTCCGATAGTGTTACTGTAACCAGTCAACTGTTAATATGTCTAAGGAAAATTTTGTTTGCAATTAGTTCCATTGTCATCGCAGCAGGAACATGTACATGTCTGGGTATTCTGATTGAAGATGCACACCTCGGTCCCTGTAATAAGTATTTTCAGCAAATTATAATTTATATAAACCTTTTAAAAAATGAAAATACTTGTGGTTGAAATTAATTACCGCCGTCGCAAAAAGGTGCTGGATGAGGACATTCTGCAGCATTGACAGATGGTCCAAAACTGGCAACAAACAAAATAGTGATTAACAGAATAATTATTTTTGAATTAATAGATACCATTTTTCGTTGAATTTTGGAGAATAATTTAGACGCCTTTTATATTTTGAGGAGGCTATCATCAATTAGACTTAATA